ATATAGATTAAGATAATTTTTTATATTATCAATAAGAAATTTAAAATATATCAATAAATCAATAAAAACTTATTTTCACTTCACTTAGATCACTTCAATCAGCAATCCCAATTATAACAGTGCTATCATATACAAGTATTTCATTAACATAATCACCAACAATGGAACCTCGATGATCCATCTATCATGGACCACAGCCATGATGCACAGAAGAACAGATAAATAGGAACTCCTGTTATAATCATTACCACAGGTCAGATCCATTTTTAAGGTATAATATTTGAAAGCTATTTTAAAGAAGTTTTGCCAGAACACAAATATTTAATAAAAAAATTATTTTGAAGTTTCATGTAACAGCACATAAAATTTTATAAAGTGCCAGTAAATTATTCATAAAGAACATGATATTCGATGATTAGAGTAGCCATTTTCCCTCCCCCCATCTTCTAGTTTCATTTGACAGTTTAATATCGATTCTTGAAAACAAATTCTTTTCCATTATGTGCCTGCCGCATATTGTTTTGGGTTTTTTAATAGCAAACAATTTCTAGTTATAAGATAAGTTTATAAATGAGAAACACATACACCACATGGCAGATGATGGCCAAGATATCATCATCTACCATGTGCCAAAATGTGTAACAAAAAAAAAAAAAAAAAAAAAAAAAAAAAAAGGCTATAATTAACATTTGAAATTTTAATTAATTAAAATTAATTTAACTATTCATCTATACCTGGGGACCAAAACATTTGTTGATTTGCTTCTGCACAATTTATTTCTTTCAGATCTATTGGTTTGTGCATTTGATAGTCTTTCAAGATAAAGCTATTATCAATAAAGAAAGACTGTGTTCAAATATGCACCTGATGAAAGTGAAAGATCTGCCACAGGCTAAATGCTTCTGCTATCCTCATTCATGTGTGAAAGAGAAAGGCATCTGAAAAGAAATGTGGTTTGAGAACTCGCACATTCCGTTTCTCACCAGTCAACAATTTATTTATTTGTGGTGCAAAGAGCTGAAAACAGTCCAAAGTTTGTTTACCAGAAGGAAACATAAGTCACATATTTCCTCTACAGTGGGTTTTTGGAGGTTTTCTGACTGCTGGAAAAGTTACAAATATTTAAGTTGAAATTTGCAGGATATGATCACTTCAAAGGGGATCATTCATTTAATTCTACTGACTTAGTCACGGGTTGTCATACACTATATATCAAATGTGTTCGGGCAATGGTAAATGGCAGAGCATATGCCAAAGAGGCACAGCCCATCAACACGTTGACTCTTAAGGGCTGTTCCCACTGGGGTTTATGTGAGCTAACGGAGTCAGTTCCATGTGTTGACTAGCTCTGCTGTGCCTGCAGTTCAGATTTTTCAACTTGCTGCCCTATGGGAAAAAACTGGTTTTGAAGATGGGTCGACTACATCAGTTGTGTTCATTAGCTCAGATAAACCCCAGTGGGCCCTTAGCAGAATTCATGTGGCATCACCTATGTTGTGTACAGAATTTGTCTGATAGCGTTATAAAAACTATGTGAATGATTTTTCTGATTTATGGAAATCTTAATTTTTTATTTGTTCTGAATTATTTATTTTAAGGCTTTAATTTGGGGGAAAAAGAGATGCTTCTGGGAATATTATTTAGTTTAAAGAATATTATTTATTTTCTTTTATTTGCAAATTTTGTACAAGCTTGATTCATTGTGAAAGAAGCAGGGAAAGGGAAGCAATTTTTGCCAAGTCATGATTTCGCGCGCTTGTCCTTTAGAATGTTCTAGAAGGATTTTCATTGTGTAGTTGACCTTAAGAGAGAAGTACGTGACAAAAGGGTCAAGGTTGTACTTGACTTCATGTAAGTCATTCAGGTTTTTGGCTATGAGGGTCCGGTGTTGGCTAAGTGAAGAAGGGCGCGCATGCGCGATCACCCTTATTTCACATTCTGGGGTTGAAAACGCAAATTTTGCCAAATTAAGGGGGCGATAAGTGAAGCCATAGGGGAGCCGCGTTTGTGAAGGAGACGAAGGAAATTCGAGTTGGAATCACTCACTGGCTGGGCTGAACTTACTTGTGGACGTTACTCTTGAAAACCGGATTGAAAGCGATAGACAAGATGTAATTTACGAAGAGAGAGGTTTCCCGGCGGGGAGCGGCAAATATGCTCCTCGGCCTCGTTTTGGTTAAGAGGCGAGACTCACTTACTGACTTGCTTGATGAACTTACTTTTGGAGGTTACTCTTGAAACTCGCTTGCAAAAAGGCGATGTAATTGCCTACGAAAACTTCTGGCCGGGAGCAAACATGCTCCCCTGTCGCGTTCTGGTTAAAAGCCGAAATTGAACCGGGCGAGTGACTTGAGACTTTCAAGACCAAGCGGAAGCTGTGCGGGCGCAGTGCTCCTTTTCTGTTTTACAGGTAAATAACTTCGTCATTAATAAAACCATACCTGCGTGTTGACTTAAGACTTTCAGACGCAAGCGGATAGCCGTGCTGGCAGCAGTGCTCCTGTTTCTGTTTTACAGAGGTAAAATAACTTCGTCATTATGAAAACCAGTTACCTGCGTGTTGACTTAAGACTTTCAAGACCAAGCGGATAGCCGTGCTGGGCAGCAGTGCTCCTGTTTCTGTTTTACAGAGGTAAAATAACTTCGTCATTATGAAAACCATTACGTGTTGACTTAAGACTTTCAAGACCAAGCGGATAGCCGTGCTGGGCAGCAGTGCTCCTGTTTCTGTTTTCCAGACTTAAAAATAGCTTCGTCATTATGAAAACCAGTTACCTGCATATGTGTTTTCGCAAATAGTGCCAGGACAGGACGATGTCTTCTGAAACTTCATTTTGGTGACCGTAAAGATGAGCCCCGCCGCGTCAACGCTTATTAGGATAACGTCCTCCACTTCAAGATGTCCACCAAGATAAGTTTTATTTTTTTTTTGTGTTTGAACTTTAAGTAAGTTTTCAACAACTTCCTTAGAATGTAAAAACAACGTCGAATCTTAAATTAATTCTCAGGCTTTCAATTGTTTCCCTTTCCCTTTTTAAATTACCAAGACAACCCTTAAGGTTTTTATATGAATTTAAATGTAAAAAAAAAAAGTAAATGACAAATTGAAGAATTCCCCTTAGACTCTCTGATGAGGATAAGATTTTATTTTTTTGTGATGAAATTGAATAAACTGATATTTAATCTGGAAACCTATTACAGTATGTTTTCTTTATATATTTAATATGTTTTTCCTATATATCTTGTATATGTTTTCTTATGTTACGATCCTCTCACGGTGCGGTCCCGGGATGCATTTTTCACAACGCAAATGCTTTACCGTTTTACTATACGATCACTAAAAGTTTGGTAATTAGCAAAAATTCTTAAGAGTTTAGTTTCCTCCCTAAAAGGAAGTAGAAACCTTTCACGGCAAGAAGTTTCTTATTTAACAATGGTACCGTGAATTAAAGTTCATAACACCTATATCTGAAGGACAAAATGTTTTCTCCCGTACTAACTGATAACTGTTAATTTATTTCTAACGTCTAATATACTCATTTATTTCAGCTTATGTTTTTTTTTTTTTTTTTTTTGTTAGTCTATATTTAAGGGTGCCCCTTGGATTATCGACAAGGCGTTTCATTTATCGCCAAATTGTTGTTTCATTTATGGTAACCTGAGTAGTTGAATGTTATGGAAACCATGTTATGATGTGATTGGTTGCGTGATTGCGGTGAATTTGAGTGATGGGAAAATATTCATAAGGGCTTATTTCTGCATTGGATGTACATTGCTTATTTTGCGCTATACACCGTAAAACAGCTGTACGTGATGAGATTAATCTGAAGTTTATGTATGATTTGGAACGAAAGGGAAAAAAGCATTAATTGAGTGGTGTGTAAATGAAGGTTTACATTGTAGTCATTATAAGTGTCCTGTTTGTAGAAAGAAATGCATATGGTTGAACATAAAGATTGTTCAGATGGCTTTGAATGGGTTTGTCACAAGAAAGGTTCATGCTAGAAATACCACCGACAGTCCAGCACTACGGAGGATATTTGTGACTCTTAGTTTTGTGAATTTCCTGTGGTGATAGCAGTATGCATATTCTAGTTCAGATAATTTTAGAAAGTTTTTGGATGCTGTTAAGGAATTTTGTGTGCCACACAGACTGAAGCCACATAAATTTCTAAATATGGCAAGTCAATATTTCCTTTTTTTATGTTATTTCATTAAGAGTTTAAAATGCAATTTACTGAGCTTCGATTGGCTACAAATTTTGTTCAATTTTGGTGATGAGTAACTTTGTTTTAACATCATATGATGTCATCATTCTCCTGACTTTTTTAAAGTGAAAATAGATTGATGTGTACATGGACAAAGTCAAGGGAGTGCGCAATGCCGAGTTTGTGCAATTCTCTGATTTTTTTTTTTTAAAGTGAAAATAGATTGATGACACTGAGTTTGGGCAGTTCTTTGACTTGTTATTTTGGTTTTGTGTAGTGGCCATCTTGAAATTGTGACTTGCTGGCCAATCGCCAAGGGGCACTTTGAAATATATTTTTACCTTTGTTTTAGAAATTTATAATGAAATAAATTCTTTGCAATAATAAATTGCTATATATAAACTATTCTTATAACTAGAAATTGTTTACAGTTAAATAACCTGCCAAAATGTATGCCATGCACATAATACCCTAACATAACATAATACCTAACATAACATAATAAACAATATTTTAGATTTTCATTTAAATAATGACAAGACAATCATATTTTGTGAAGTGTTATGTACATTTTTAAATATTTATTTTTATTCTGTGATTTTCAGTAGATTTTTTTCTGCATATCTCATTGTCTCAGTTGTTAGAAAATAGTAGAAGTAGTTGATAGAAAGCTGACATTCTCAGTGACTGATGCCAATAAAAACTAATACTCAGAAGGTTGAATTTCCATTACATTTGCTAAAATACTACTCGTTAATGTTGATAAATAGAAAAAAAGAAAAATATACATACTCTACTTGTAAATCATCCGCACATTCTTTACAAGGATAAAACTTTGAAAACAGGTTTAAGAATTGCTTCATGTCACTTTGATGACTGGCTGAAGGCTTTTTAGGAAAGTAAGCAGCCATAGTATGTAGAAAGGCCCAAGTGGAGCGTCCTAATTCTTCACGATCAAGGGGACATTCCTTTACCTTGTAAAAAAAATATTTTTACTGGAAATATATAAAAAAATTGCCTTTGGATATGCAATACAACTACAGTACAAAATACAAAAAATATATGAAAATTAGATGATGAAAACTAGAATGAAAAAATTATGTGCAAGCATATTATTTGAGGGCTGATTATTCTTCGAGATTGGTTTATTTCTTAAATAGCAACTTGAAAATCACGTGAAAAAAATCAAAAGTTTCTAAATCATACTTTACAAAATACTGGGAAGTAGAGCCATGAGTAAACTAGTCCACCTTTCATTTTTCTCCTTTTGTCTGAAGGATGAATATCGTTTGAAGATTATGAATTTATTCAATTTTGAGGAGAAATTTTCAATGTCCTTTTCAAACAGTAAATACATTAGCTGACTGTCGTAAATTTGATCTATTTTTAACCAATTTTGTATTCTCTATATTATAGTTTCTACTTTCATATATCATTACAGTCTTTCTTTAGAGATGCAGAATCTAACTTAACAGGAATTTATCATATTCATAATTAGTCAATAACACAAAATATAGGTATTTTTCCTTTTGTCATTTGTAGACCTCAAAGATTCATAATTAAAAAAAAATTACAAATATTAAGTATTCAAAGCCAGTAGTACTAGTGAAGAAATAACTGACTTAAAATGTGAAGTAATAACTGAGTGAGTGAAGAAAAACTGACTTAAAATGGGATGGAATCATAAGTGGTTGCAACAGCAAAGCAGTAATGGCATTTTTCTGATTATCTAAACCATTGATAAGACAACATACCATGTCACAAGAAGTATTTATGTGATAACCGAAAGAGTATCAGAAAAAAGTATTTACGTATGTGACAGCTCAGATATGTGTATAGCATTCCTTTGAGAAAGTGTTAAGCTTCTCTGGACATTTTTGTGAGTGTAATTGCAGATTATATTCCTTCCATATGGGAATTTCAGCATAACAGCGGATTGCATACTGGAGTTTCTGTAAACTTTACCGAAATCTTAGCTCTCTGCACACATACAGTCTAAAGTGGCTTGCTGAAAAATCTCATGCACCTATTTTTCCTTCTCATTTTAGGATTTTTGGTGTACAGGTAATTCAATTCTAGACCTTGTATCAGGGGTGGCCCAAGAGCGATGCATAGAGCCGGGAGAAAATTTATGCTGCATGCGCATGACGTCATGTGAGTGACAGTTGTTAGTTCTTGCCATCTGTTTACATTCGTTGCATCAACACTTTCATTTGATTTGTGTTGTTGATTCGGTATTATACCTGGTCAGAAATTGCAAATTATGCTGTATCGTTATATCAGAATTTAGAAGGAAAACTAGAAGTCAGGGTATCACATACCATCATTTTCTAAGTGATGCAGAACTTCGTAAGTTACAGATTGTTCGCTGCAAAAAAGGAGATAATTCCAACATCGAAAATGCAAGAATATGTGTCCTTCATTTTACAACTGATGACTACATACGGTATCTAAATGCAGAATTGCTTTGTTCAACTTCTAAAAGGGTGCTGAAAGCCAATGTTGTTCCCACTTTACATCTTACATCATCATCGTGTGAAAATAACTCACCAATACATTATATATGTTGTACTTCAGAAAACTGAAGTTAATCAGGAGAGAAATATTTTTGACGCGAATGATTCATCCAAATTTACGCTAAAAACAGATAGAGCAAGGTGTTAGTCTCGCGAAACAAGGAAACGATCATTGGAAAATTTAGCTTCCCTTTCCCCAAAAAAGGAAAGGCTATAAGCTGATAAGATAGACTGTGCAACTTAGTTTACACCCAGTAACACATCTGATTTAGTTGAAGCGACACATTTGAGTTAGTCGTTACAACCAGATAAAATATCTGCTTATTTTTTTAATGAATTTATGTAGTTTTCCTACATAACTGTGATCGAATGGATACATTAGTATTTGTAATTGCACATTTATAGGTCATTTTACTAATATTTTACATTTAAATTAAAATTTTTTCTCATCTTAGATCACTTTTTATCATAATCTTCATTTTGTGAATGAAACTTATAGTATATTGAAGCAATGTTTGGGTTAAGCTTTGCGTACAAAGTAAACTGATATATGCTTCACCTTGAGGAAAGAACAGTTTCTCGACCACACTACCATGCAAATATCGAATCAGTGAGTGACATATTCCCATCAGTGTTATTTAACTGAATCTGATGTAATTTAATTAACATAACTAAGTGAATTTCCCCATGCTTGACCCTGAAAAAAAAAAAAAAAAAAAAAAAAAAAAAAGTGTATTGTGTTGGAATACAAATAGCGAAAGAGTAAGATATTCTCTTCAGTGTTAACTGCTGCAATGTTTTTAATTTTGATTCCATATAATTTGTTTTTAATTATAACAGAAAGAAAAATATTTAAATACTGAACACTATTTCGAGTATAACAAAAGTATTTTAAGAAACAAGGTGATATAAATACAGTAGTTATTAAAAATATTTAACTTGTACGCAGGCTTAATTGAAATTGAGAATTAGGGAAAGATTACTTTTAGATAATACTGAAAATATATGTACTTCTGCTGACATCTGAAGTTAATCAATATAAGTTACTTTTCACCTTAAAAAGAATGTGATAAGTCTATTTAAAAAGCATATTGACGTTGTAAAGAAATTTGTAGAATTTTATATTAATTGAGTAAGAATTTGGTGATTCAAATCCTTTTATATATTTTTTTACTTGAGATATGTAATTTTATCTGAAAATCACAATCATATATTTTCACAGAATATCAAAATTCATTTGTATTTTAAAAAAAAAATGCATGAGCAATGAAAACATATGGGAAAATACTTTTTGATTATGTTATTACCATGGTTTTGGCAGTTCTGCCTTCATGTGTTTTATTCAACAAGATTTATTAAGTGCAAGCAATACAACGCAAAAATATTTAAAAATACCACATTTTACAATATTTAGTTTCATTAATAGATATATCATTTTTCTTATTCTAATGCTTCCCTTTAAGAAAAGGATGTTTACAATTATTTTAGCATTCGTACAAATTCTGAACATAAAATAAACATTTGCTTTGACAAAATACCTAATAGGAAAGTATATACCGGGTATTTCCAATATCTTATTATACATACTACATATAAAATGATCATTTTGCTTTAGTTTACATTTATTCCATCACTGAAATCATGCAACACACGCGTCGATCGATGTATCTTGTCACTCGGGTGATGTCACTACCAGCAACCAGTGGCATGCTTTTCCCGTTCCTGGCCTAACCTTCAGTATATTAAAGAACCTTGACCTTGTATATAAGTACCTATGTATAAAAATTCGTGAATTTATGAAATGGGTGTTTTGAGCCAGAATTTTGAAGAAAAGTTAATCCAAAATTTTGAACATCGGTTTTAAAGCCAAAAACAACATAAACAACATCGTATTCTTCAACTATTCAATTTTTTATTTTCATTTTACTCAAATCTTATAAAAAAATCAAATTAAAAAAAAACTGTTGTCATTCTTCACAGCATTTGTTTTAAAAACAGTGTCAAATGAATGAACTATTTCTTACATGCTCTTTAAGAATATATTGCAACAAGTCTTATTTCCTGTATATTCTGGTGTATAATGTACACCTATAATTTTAAACTATATTTTTTAATTTTTAGGGATATTCACCGTATAACACAGAAACCTGAATGATACATGTGATGTTCTCATCTTCTGAAGTTATTCACTTGAAGACTTTTTTGATGCTTTCGAACAATGGTATACTGAATAGACAAGCGATAAGAAGAATAATATGTACTTGAGGGGGGAGGATACTTGAGGAGTACATAATTTTGCTGAGAAGGTAGGTTGCATTTAATGCATGTGCGTACAAGAATATTATTTTAGGGTTTCGAGAAGAGGGACATAATTTGGGGTACAAATGCATTTCTGACTTGAATGAATACACGAAATTAGGAGTTGGATGTTCTTTCTGCAGTAATTTGAAGCCGTAATTTTGAAGTGAACATTGAAGTAGTTTAGTAAATTGCATTTGTTTTAGCTGAAATACAGTTGATCTAGTGTTTCCTTTAGCTTTACACGAGTGGAAGAAAATAAAATTACAATGGCAAAGAATAAATTTGCTTTGCATAAAAGAGTAAAAAAAATTACTTGTTCTAGAAGAAATTGTTGTGAACAGGGTCCTACAAAGTCACCAGAATGGATTAATCGTAACAAGAAACAGCTCATGTTTATTTGCTATAAAGTGAGCAGAAAAGAATGCAAATGAAAGTGAAAAATTTATGGCAACTTTGAGTTGGTGTGGTCGATTTATGGATGAAATAGTTTAGTTCTGCAAGAAAAAACAGAAGTTTTGCTATGGCTTCCAAAAGATCTGGACAACAAATTGATAAGTTTACAGATGTATGTTACTGAACTATGAAGGCAAAAAAAATTATTAACTGTCACATTGAAAATATGGATGAAACTTCAGTAACGCTTGATATGATAGGAAATAAAACAATGTAAAAAGAACAAAATTGGTTCATATAAAAAAAGGTACAACTCTAATATACACCCTAATTTCACCAAATGTGGCGATATGTGTTCTGCGCTGGTTTTTGGCGCGATTGCGTGTTCTATGGCAACCCTGTTGACATTGAAAAATTTTTCGTTGGAGCTCTTTGGTTCGCCTCTGTGTCTGAGAAGATGGGAGGGAAAGATAAAATGGTAGTTGTTGAATTGAAGTTCGGCAAAAGGAAATATGATTGTAGCTATCCTGTTGAGAGGTAGTGGGTATTTGGAACTGTGGAATGAGGGTCTGGGAGATTATTTTTAATGGCAGTGCATGATAGAAGTAGGGATTTGTGATTTTATTTATTTGTGAACCATAGTATAAATTTTCTGGATAGTGTGTCTTGCTGTCGTGTAAATACGATAGTGATTACGTGGCGGCATGTTAAAGGCGGTATGAAATTTATATTTCTGCTATTCGAAAACGCATTAATTCATGGTA